AGTCAACTTCTGTCCACCTCGAGCCTTGCGCCACCCTACACCTGGCAGATTAAACAAGGCCCTCCTAGGTAAGCGGTGACCAGGCATACGTAGCACGTGCTCCAGCCAACGCAACTTATTCAGTGCTATCTGTTGTTCTAGGGAGCTGGCATGTTTATCACCACCTAGTACTCGCCTACGCACATCATCGTTGCGCACTTGCTGGGGCCATCCGACACCAGCAATGCTTCGTAGACAACGATGATCAAAGACTTGAAGGCGCCTCAGATCTTCAGACCGAAGGGGCCAAGTCTCACTGCCATAGAGCAGAACGGCCCTCACTGTGGTCCTGTATACACGGCCTTTCAGACGAAGGGAAACTCCTATAGGATTCTCCATGCCCTGTGTTCAACTCCGCCATCCGCCAACCATCGAGTGTGGACTACTCCGAGCGCAACTATCGCCCCCCTCCCCAATTATCTTCGCCATTGCCACCGCAACTACCACCCCCCAAGTACCTTCGCCACTACCACCGCAACTATCACCTCAATTATCTTTGTCACTACCACCGCAACTATCACCTCAATTATCTTTGTCCTTACCACGGCAACAATCACCCCAATTATTCTCGCACTGAGCATGAGCAATGTACTTATCATCCCACACACTCACATTTCACGCATCCGGCCTTCATCCGGTCTGTGTTTGACCAATCGCATTGACTTCACTTGTCCCATATAACTAGTGTTCTGTATTCTGTATCGCATTGACGATCTGAACCGTTTCTTGTTGTTCTCGGACCGAATTGTATCTCTTTGAAACTGCGTTGAGTGGAAGCGCTACTATTGAGGTTTGTAATATTATTGCTTCCTGATTGTTCGTTAATAGTACCGTCATCTTGTCCAGTGTTCTTGTTCTTTGACTGGCTGGATACGCGTTGGCTCAAGGCCCTTCAAAGCGAATTGTCGCTTACAACTCCCTTCTGTCGCCAAAGTTGCCGCAGGTTCAAGAAGGTAGCTCTGGCTTTTGCAATGCGTGAGCTGACGTCAGTTTCTATGCGCCCATCATTGCTGATGCAGCTGCCAAGATAAGTGAAATGATCAACCACCTCGAGTTCCTCGTTAACAAGCGTCAAGGGGTCATCAAGTGGCTGGTGGCCCTGCAGCAACACTTTGCACTTTGAAGGTGCGAAGTGCATACCAAATAACGGGACCACTCTGGATAGGCTATTCAGGGTTGATTGTGCCGCCCCAACATCGTCGAAAACCAAGACGATATCGTCCGCATAATTAAGATCAGCTAATCTTTAACCAGGCAGCACTTCAACGCCTACATCGTGAGATTCCGCAAGGGAACACTCAATGATAGAACCCACGACGAAGTTGAACAAAAATGGGGAAACCGGACAACCCTGACGAACGCCACTTGTGGTCGGAAAGCTATCCGATAGGCCACGGTAGACCCTGACGCGGCATGTAGTGTTCGAGTATAGAGCACGAAGGATGTTCACATATTTCGTGGGAACACCTTTCCGCGCAAGTATTTCGAACAGAATCAATCGATCGACTGAATCGAACGCACGCTTGAAATCGAGGAACACGGCTATTGTCGATCTGCGGTATGCGTGGCGCTGCTCTAGCACCTGCCGCAAAGTGAATATATGGTCTATACAGCCATGTCCTGGGCAGAAACCGGCCTGCTCTTCCCTAATCCGAGATTCCCGTTCCGCAGTGAGGCGACGAACGATAATCGAGGCCAATAATTTTGTCACAACTGGCGTTACACAAGCAGCTGTGGGAGCTTTCTCCTTTGTCTCCGCGACAAGATCAAGCGGATCGGGTACTAGAGGCGTAAGCGGAGCACATAGGCTGTCCGCTACCTATAAAGGTCATCAGCATGAGCGTGCTACGAACTTTGACTTTTCCGATGAATTTGGGAATCAAGTGAGAATCGATCGGCCAGCAAATATCAGCCCCCGTCAAAGGAATGGAACTATTCCATCAATATGATAAGCCCGTGGAGCAGAATTCACTCACACTGGCTGAAAACCAGATGTAGAGTGAGTGACATTGACCTCTTAAAGTAGCATGCTTTGTTTACCAATAAAAGGAGTTAACCTATCCTGTAAATATACTCTCTCTCTGTCTATCGAATTCTGGTCTTTTGTATTTCTTCTATTGGCTGGGCGCGTGACTGAGCAGTCAGACAGACGCAGTCTCACAGGGCACCAAATCAAGCAGTACAACGATTGTCAGTGGCAGAGAGGAGAGGGAAAGAAGCAGCGTTGCAACAACGGGAAACAAATATGAGGTGATACAGTTGCCGTGACGACTACTAGTTGACTTAATGGATAACAAAGTTATTCAAACAAATAACCGGCTTCACGCGTAGCCCAAGCAGTACTGTAGTGTTCCATGAATGCAATGAAGTCATCGGGAAAAACGCGCGTTTGAAGGCGCAGCAGTTAATTCGCGAGAACTGCTACGATACCTATTCACCTGAGAGAAATCACAGCGACGATGACATGCAAACCGAACGCCGCTGTTTGGCGTTGTGCCCAATGGGGTTAAATGCCAAAGGGGTTGAGTGAATGATCAAGGGTAGACAGGTGCGAGGGATTTTCTGTTTTTCCATTGTAACGGGAAACAGGACACTGCGAAAGATCGAACAATCTATCAGTTATAATAGAAAATTCATTAAAAGAGCCGTCCATGTAGCAGCAAAATGAGTGTCGTGGCTACGTGCACCTTTGTGGTTGGCGCATTATCACAGACGCATCGGGTAAACAATGACAGTATCACCGTAACAACACGGATCAATCGATAGCAGCACTATAAAAAACAAGATAATTGCGACACAGAGTATAACTACTTACATAGGTAATTCAGAAATACACTACTCTGTGACGAAAGAAAACGAGTGAAAAGTTACGTCTGGGACATGCTACGCACCAGGCCATTCATGCGATTGGCTAGAGAAACAACAAAACCACCAGCCCTGGGCACGCAGCTAACATCGGTCACTGAGTGACAACAGTGTTAGTGTCAGCTACGATTTCCGGCTCAACGGTGAACAGTGGGAGCCGATCGGAAGTGAAACACTATCAATCAACTCCTAACCGACTTTAGCAATCAAGTAAATATAGAAAAACAACCGTAGTGTGTGATGCGTTGATTACGGTTGTTTGAAAAAAAGTAGTCCCTGGAGGGTGGGAAGAAACGCTTTCATACAAAGCGTTCAGGCGAAGTTGTATCACTAGAAACTCCCCACTAGTTACCGTCTAAAAATACCCAACATGTGGTAGGCGATTACACAGAATGACGGAAGTGATAGTCAGACTAAGACCTGTCGAAAGCGTAACTGCTCACAGACAGAGAGTAATAAATGGGAGCACGATCTAAGCAATTGCCAAACAACGAAGAAGGCAATAAAGACAGTGTGTTCGGTGAAAGTAATATAGCAAATACCTCAGTTGGACAAAGAAGGAAAATCAGACCAAGGTTCAGTCGTTGCAGTTACACCCACAATCCATGTTCTTCGACGCACAGACACCGAGAGAGTGATGGTATGTAGATATGTTTGTGTGCCTAAGTATGGGTGACACGGTGAATAAACATCCGAGAGGGAAACGCCCAACATTCACTCAGGTGGCGGAGTAGAGGAGAATCGACTATACGTGTACGCAAATGTTTAGGTCAAGACCTATCAATAACGACGTCTGAGGGTACACCGTGTCGGAAAGACCGGAAACTAGTTCACATAGGTTAAAAGAAGTGAAAGCTTAACCGTGTTGTAGTTGGTTAAAGACACCGACCTTCCACGGACTGACGAGGTTCTTCCCGAAGAAACCACCGTTCACACGCTCCATTTCTCACCAAAAGTTAGCTGTCTGTAGATAAGGCTCACTGCCGTCGGATGCGAAATAGAGACGGGAAGAATAAACAATGGACGACGCGTGGAGCTGCAGTGGGTTGTCTCATTCCCGTGGTTTCAATGCATATGACATAAATATATTTTCAATGAAGAAACTACGTTTTAGAAGGCATAACTAGAACTTAATCAAATATGACAACAGGGTAAACATAGCAGTTATCTTAAGATGACGATGACCTTCGCTGTCTACTGGCATTTCTTGTGAGGTGGAAGTTTCTCGAAGCGAGTGCTTATTGTTAGTATCCGATCAATAGATATGTAATGGTTTGAGGAATAGTGCAAGGTATAAAAGCCTGAGCCAAGGAGTTATTTAGGTGGTAAGGTGGATGCACATAACAGTTGGGACTAGGATACGCAATCCCAGAAAACTGAAGTTAGTAAAACTGCTTTTCTTGAGACGTCAGAAAAAATGAAGCGATCGCGCAACAAGTGAGTGTTTACCTCGGAACTAAAGTGTTTCTTTGGCTAACTGGCCGACGACAGTCCCATCAAAAGAGATCACATATCTAGGGCTAAACCATTTCACTATGATTTTGAGAAGATATGTGTATTGAGCAGGTGGCCTTACAATCCGAAGGTCACCGGCTCGAATCCGTGTAGGTGCGGCTGATGTCGCATTATTCCCAGCGCATATACGACTGATGGTGGTCGGGTGGTAGCGAAGCGTCGGTGCCGCGCGTGCTGGCGTACTGCTGATGCTTCTTCATGTGTGTTGAGCGAAATGAAGATAAACTGGCGCTTATCTTGGCTGGAACTATGTTTTCGCAACCCTAGGAGTTGGGATCTCCTTGATCACTGGTAAATAAATAAATGAATATTTTATTCTCAAATTTATAGACACACCAAATCAGGTGTCTGAATGGCCGGGCATTTGGGTCCCTTAGCAAGTAAATCCGGATCGACTCAGAACCTTATGCCGTTCCCATGGTGGAATAAAAAGCCCACGAGACGAGTGAGATTACCACATGCAATGTACGTGAATCGAAACTTAGCAAACCCCCCTCATATAACCAATAAGAACACCCGCGTGACGAAATGGAGAAGGAAACAAGTGAACAGCATCAACGCAACAGACATGTATCACTCACCTGGGTTGAGTGAGGGTTGTTTTCGGTTGGCTTGCGTCTGTACAACTCATCATCATTTGCAAGCCTTCAATTTTCTGTCGGAGCTGGCCAACGCTTGACAATAAGTCACCAAAGCATACTTGTTGAGCGTCCTCAGATACTTCATCCCCAAGTGTATCTGCAGCGACACTGTGGTTCAGCGCATCCAGTGAGTGTCGAATCTCCTTGGTCAATTTAGCTTTCTGGTCCGCGGTGAGCAGTATACCTCCCTCAGCCAAGGCGTTGGCGAGACTAGACGCATGTGAGTCCGATGCCACAAAATCAGTTTGAACTGCCGATTCATAAAGTTGTGGCAAAGTGATTGATGGTGGTTCATCAGGTGAACCAAGTAATTGTGCGTTGGACTGCAGAACTTGTTTTAAGTGGGACATCTCTTGTTCTTTTTCGGCCAAAACATTGTGAAATGCTCGAATGGTTTCTTGTAATAGTAAGTCATCCACTTTTGGAGCCACCAAGCTTGATAAATCAGGAGCGTCCGCAGCCTTGCACATAGCGACCTGTAAATCCAAGGCACTCATGCCATTAAGCGGGGCTAAGCACGTCGAGGGGCCGAATGTGCACATTATCAATTGGGTTACAGTGGGGGGGAAAGTTTCATCGACTGTCTTATCTAATTTATGGTTTGGTACCGGGTGACACACTTGTGATATACCCAGAGACGAATTATCTAACGTTTGCTTCCGATCATTCGCTGGGGAATCACTATTGATTTGTTCCATGAGTCTGATAATAGCTAATCGGAAATGAGAATGACCTCTCACAACATCCAGAAACGGTTTAGACTAAAAATCTCCAGTGTGTAACTCAATGCTATGCTTGATGTTACGGGGCACATCGTGCAGACAAGACGTAATGGAAGTGCCTAAGGTAAGTTACTTGATATGGTTAACTAACTGGAGCCGAGACCGAAGTCGATAAGGAGAAATTAGTCGATATGAGAAGTGCAGACATGCCATTGATTTTGATTTACGATATCCAACCTGGCAGTTACAGATCAGGAGCACAGTGGGGGATAGACCACGCCCACTGGCGAGTGTCGCACCCTGTCGTGCTTATTACTAATGCATAGAGAGTGGCGGGACAGAGCCAACATCGAGGGTGCACGATCCCAGGCGTGCGGTGGACACGGAAGCACATGGTAAACGGGAAAACGGCCAACTAGGAGACAGGCTACGAACGGTATGTTGACTCAGTGAAATTGAAAAAGCAGTCGATGCTCATTGGTCCGGTGTGGGATACATGAGTAGGAGATAGTAGAGGATTACAACTTGCTCTGTGCTCGCGCAAACGCCACTTAGAAAATATTGTAAGTATAGGCGCGAATCATGTGTTTGCAGGTGAAACGATGCAGTTCGGATTCGGCTCTTTAGACTATCAGACCGTTTGGTTCGATTGAACAACCATGTTCCGAACATCGAAAAGCGGTGAATCTAGCTGTCATGATTCCAGACGCCAAGATAATGTGAAGAAAACGCTAAGCATGTGTAGGAACAGCAGAACATATGGAACAAACCCACTGCGAAAAGCAAATACGACTGTCGAACGAAGGGATTGATAGTGAAAGTGAGATATGCGCGTACACAATTTCGACGAATTCGCAAGTGAGCCTCGTTGGTTAGGGTTGACTACCCTTGTGGTTGGTTCCAAGGTCTCAAACAAACGACCTATACCAGCCTGGTCAAGCCCTTCGATTAATTTTCCACACGCTCAAGTCATAGCATGAGAAAGACACTCCGGAGCTTCAGCCAACCGGATGCAGTGAATGAAGGCAGTTCCCGGTGTGGAGGCGGGTCAATAGACACAAAGAACGTGGCTTAGTTTTAGTACGCAATGTAAGTTCGGTGAGGCAGTGAGCTACCAGAGGATTTTCAATCAAATACGGACTCAAAGAGGTTGGTACCTAGTGCTTCTGATAAGACTGGGAGGTGCTACGCAAGCTCCGGTGATCAAACACGACAAGGTCCCTAATGTCATCAGAACGCAGTAACGATGTCCTGACTAGCCGCACTACAGCGTTGCATACTTGACCTTCTCTAATAAGCCATTGGTTACGTAATCTTTGTATATGGCCATAAGGGTTTTGTTGGTACACCCAATACCCCTTTCAGTACTCTGACTATCACGAGTGACGCGGTTACCTGAATAGGTAGATGGATTGACAACTTCTAGTGACTGCTCGGTGACCATGAGAGTCGGTGGTGTGTTCAAGCAGTCCTATGGTAGCATAATGCCTTGAAAGTGTGAAAGTGCGCTTCGACGCGCGCCGACCATACACGTCGGGCAACCCCTAGAAAATTACAGGGTATCTGAGACTGACTCCTAAAAAGTTATATCGTCTGAGTACTCTATTGTGTACGTTTATCCAGTTAATATAAAGAGATGTCTGTGATCTTAAAGAAGCCAGGTTAAAGAAAAAGCGATGATTATGTTTGACCTGAAATACTCCGTTATACGTCCATAATTCAGTAGATGATTTTCAAAGGACCTAAACAAGGCCCCCGTGGTTATAGTAAAGAGCGTTTAAATTACAACGTAGCGCCGAAGAAAGGAAGCGTGACAAATCGGCGTAGTCATTTAAATAGATGTGGCTCTCGAGTGAAATAATATGTCAGTAGGTGCGATGTCGCTTCAGCACCGAGGAGGTATAGCTATGGAGGAAAGTAATCCTATCGGGGTGAGAGCAAGTGCAACCTTAAATGTTTCAACTACCTCGAAAAGTAGTGAGCTGTCGAAGTATGGTGCATGTGAGTAGCCCAGAAGCATTGACTATGGGAATGAGAGCTGGATTTTCGGATGACGCCGTTTGGCTTAAGTTTAAAAAGGCGGTTGTTGACAGCCCGGTGCGAAGTCACTCCATAACGTACCATGCAGAATGAGTAAACCAGCCACTAGGGAGTCCCCGTCGTCATCCATCCATAACAGAGCAAGATGTCGGGGTCTAAGCACTGATTGACGAATCACAGGCCTCTGCTTGCGTTGAAGCTCACCGGTGCTGGGATCCGTATCGTCAAAATACAAAGTGAATCCAGCTCACTCAAGTGAATTGCTCTTCGAAACATCCGGAACAGTATGGAAGTTTATGAGTCTGTGAGTGGACAATTTGTTCATCTTCACCACCTGCTTTCTCACAAACTCAGTACCCTTGCGGAAACTTGCATCGGTTAAGATGGTACAGTACTCGGTTGCCTCTAGTGCGGATGGCATTGTGCATGGTGTGCGCTTCTGTCATCCAACAGCACTCTAGATCAATCCTGAGGTTCCTAGGAAAATGCTTATTGAGAGGGTCACAAATGCACTGTAGTTGAGAACAGCTGATATGCTGCTCACTCACACATTAATCGAACTGATCGACTACCCAGAAATCATCATCATCGTCACCAATGCGCATTGGAGGCGTATCCAAACACCGTGTGGCCAATTCGCTTGGCTCGTCAGTGACAATCGACGAGGTTCCGGCTAGGGTTGGTGAGGCCAACTTGTGTATTCGGAGTTCAGGTAACGAGTGTGAGATTTCGGAATTGGGAGTAAGAGACCCAGCGCGATCTAGGCGTGACCAGCATCTACCTTCGTACTCCAAAGAGCCTAGAAATGTTGCAATGATGTACACTATCCGTGCCTGACAATAACGTGGTCAACTTGAGTCTAGTGCAGTGAACTGCTAGGTGAGCACCAGATAACGCGATTCGAATGTACTGGATGACGATGGCACTGACATCAACGAAACGTACCATATATTGCGGAATATGAGCCCGTCCATGAATAGGCCGACAGTATGACTTTGCAATATCAGATTTGTCCAAAGGCGTAAGTCCCTACATTATTCGACCAAAAAAACCTAACGTAAAGTGCTTTTCTGTCATATTTTTGCTCAGGTTATTGAGTGTGATGGTGCTTGATTCCATATATTCCCGTATGTCGCTGTTCCTGTCATCCGTCGCGAACGTCAAATGTCATCATCATCACCATACACGTTAGCTAGAGGTGGGGAACACCTCAGCTGCTGTGTCGCAATACACAGAAAAAAGGAGGAAAAAAAGCAACTGTTGCAAGCCGGCTGAGCTACCGGTAACGGATGGGCATCGTTCCGGTAAGCTACCAGCCGGCTACTGTACATCAAAGAAAAAAATTACTATGCAAAATTATATAAGACTAACTAATGAGATCGTGGTTGGAGAGGAGGCTAAGAGGGGTGGGGTGGGACAAAGAAACTCACAGCACGAACGCCACTGAGGTCGGCTTCTAGCAATATCAACAAGTGTGTCCAACCAAACGTGTTCATCGTCTTTCGGACCCCAACCAGGGAGCCGAGACGCTCCAACCGAGGCCAGCTCAAATGTGCAATATACCGAGAATTTTCACCACAAAAATAATGTGTTTAGTTATAGGCACGCTGCTCGCAGTGCTGCGTAGACAGCGTACGAAAAAATGAGACACTTCATAGCCCGGCCTTCAATACCCTCCGTCCCTAGCGGGTGGTGCTAAGAGGAGATAGGGGAAGAGGTGTGCAGTGAAAACCCGGGTGGATTTTGCACGTGATTATTCTCACATTGGCCATAACATTTTTATAAGACGCTACAGAAATGAAAAATCGTCCAGAAACCATCGGCTTATATTCTGTAATATATGGTACTTGGTGCAATCAACCTATCTATCATCTAGCTGGTGGGCAAGGACACCGCAACTGCTCGCAAGATGTTGTCCGGAGTTCGATGGATTACTTTCAGCATTACTGAGGGGAGCAACCTCGACACCATCAATGACTGGAGCCATTGGCTTACCAGTATTTGGATTGGACTACCTAGTCGGGATGTATATTTGGCTTTGATGTACCAGTTCTGTTGTTGGATTGAGAGCTGCGACCTCGACGTAAACCGCAATTTGTCTCGAAGTAAGCATCGGTCATTTGAATCGCTGAGACCACATCTGTAGCGCGTACCTTTTCGGTACTCTCCGCTACCCACGTTGTACTACATGACTGGTTCTGTTCTTGTGTGTACGTCTCAGGTGGTGTTAACGGCGCAAACAGGAAGGTTGTGGTTTTTCGGCATACAACTGCGGACCACCGAGTTTAGCGAGTGCCGCTTAGTACAGCATTTAGGAATGCCACACTAGTGCTGTAATACCCATCGGATCGAAGGTGTGTTATGACGTTACATGCTAGTATGCGCGCTTCGGAAATGATAGAACACACGTAAATGTTCAGCGAATGCAAGGTAAGCGTGATCTGCTAATCGACCTGCTAAGGAATACGAGTTCCGTGCATTGGCACTTTAGATTTGAGAGGCGTTTATTTTTTCAGCAACATGGCCATAAGTAGTCTCAAGGTGATCAACCTGAGGAGAGTGGTTGAGACATACATTTAATTGTGCAGGCGTATGATGCACTCCGGTCGCCCTTTCTTTGAAGAAGACGATGCAGCCCAACCGAGTAGTCCAAGTTAGGAGGGGACCAAAAGCTTTCTGTAATTTCGGATAAACTTGTGCATCCACCCAAACGA